GACTGCTCACGTCAATTCCATGTCAGGCGTTCGTGCTTACCACATGCATAGGTGCCGTGTTTTCCCTCCGTGGTATCCGGAGGGGACCAGTTCTGGCACCCCTCTGGCACAGTATAAGAGGTGTTGCTAGTGCATGTGGTGAGCACACATACTGAACATGGAATGGTCTTCAGCAAACACTCAGAGCTACTTGCTTACAAAATCAGACAAAAATACAAGTGTGTCATAGCACACTAGAACTGAAAAATGGCTTATTTTCTCATTTTGACCATCTCATTATAAAAGAAATGGACTGGAATATAAATATTGTACTTACATTTCAGTATACAGGGCAATATTAAGTCATTGTCTGCATGACATTTTAGTGTCTTTAACACTGACTTTGTTAGTGGCTTTTTATGCAGACTGTTGGAAAACTAGGCAAATACCTAGATGAGCTGAGATACCTCTGGTTGAAAGCCACTGGTTTGGGCTCTTCTAGCTAGTTCATTACTTGCTTTGAGATTTGAAAATCAATTCCCATTTGGATTTTCACAGCATGTCTAGAGCAGGCTAAGGAGGGGCTCTATTTTCAATTTTTCAGTTTATAGTTGTGTTTGATGTTGTCAGGACAGCAAAAATTATCAGACCTGTTTCCTTCTCTGTTCCACCCAACTTTCTGCCAGCAAATGGATATTCCAGAATCTCAAATTGCATTTTAAAAACATGTTTCTCCCCTTAATGGTTAGGGAGAAACCCTAACACCAAGAACAGTTTTTACTTGAGGGCCACTAGCAGCTTCTATCATGAAGTTGAGGATCTCTGTGAAGTACCAGCCAGTTCAAAAACAGAGTCTTGAGCTGGATGGGTATCCCACGGAGAGCCTCTCCTAAACAAAACTGACCTGGAAAATTCATGTGCACACATCTTTTCAGTCAGCTGAGGTCACTGCACACCACGTACCTCATCATCTCAGGAGCACAGAAGTGGAAAGCCAAAGTTTTCTACAACTCTTTCCAGAAACACACCCCAAGCAGTAGCACAAGGTTAGCAGCCATGGAACCTGCACTGTAAGCACAGGGCACCTTTGCCTCAGCAAACCTGAGTGGGTGTTTTCTCAGACAGGGCTGAGACAGGGAGGGGCAGAGAGGCTGACCTGTGGGGGGTGCATGGATTTTAGGACAGAGGGCTGGAAGATGCGTGTCTGGTACAGATTTATAATCTGGAAAAGTGTCGAGACACACACCTTTGAGACTGGTCATTCTGATTTGTCAAGAACAAGTAACATAACAATGACCTTCTGAGACTTCTCTGCCACCATGACAACCAGGTCAAAGTCGTATGTGCCCAGGGAGTGATCATACAGTTCATTGACGTCCACCAGGAAGAGCAGGTACTTCAGCGCCGCCTCTGCAGTCACCCCCTCAGCCGCTGGTGAAACAGCCTCTGTCACTGTGGGAAACAGAGCATCAAAATCACTTGCGCCCATCGAAGGCTGTTCCCGGAGCTCCAGGCACACCACGAGAATGCACGTTCCTTTAGCTTGCTAAGGACATACTCTGACTTCACAGGCAGACTGGCAGTTCCCCTGCTCTACTGATTCAGTTTGTCTTGTGCTTGAAAGAGGGGGTGCGGGGAATGCCTGCCTCAGCTCTTCACATACAACTTGCATGGCAGCTTGGCAGTCCTCAGGTCTGGCCTGAACCAAGGGACAATACAACTTGCATCCTGCTCATATCTCTGCAGAATGAGAGCCAAGCGTGCCATGCTGAGACCAATGAAAGGCATGGGGCGCGCAGTACACGTGTGCCAAAAACAGAGCTGATGGAGACAGCGAAAACACTCCATGGCTCAGTGACATGACCGACCAACCCCGACTGCTGAGCCATGGCAATAGGAACTGTGTGCATCTCTCTCTTCTGTGCTATCTAGTGTTATTTCATCGTGACAGCCAACTTCAGAGACTCTGAATGGAACTTTGAGAGGCCCGAACAAATTTTTGTTGCTCAAAGTAAAAAAAACAGGGTAAATAACACTATTAACTCAGCACGACCACAGACTCCCTGCAGGTGAGATGTCCTTTTCTTGCCAACTTTCTGAGAGCACCGTACCTCGCAGCTCCTGCACTTTCTGGAGGGCAATTTCCAGTTCTGGGGTGCTTTTCTTCACATGGGATGTCAGTATCGAAAGACAGTATCTGAGAGAAAGTGACAAGATACAAAGCAGGAAACCAATAAGAAGGAGATCAACAATCTACAGTTGGACCTCAGAGTTATGAACAGACCGGGCAACCACATGCCTCATTAGGAATTGGATGTACACAATCAGGCAGCAGCAAAGACAAAAAACCCCCAACAAAATACAGTACATTACTATGTTAAACAAACTACTAAAAAAATAAAGAGAAAGTTTAAAAAGAAGAACTGACAAGATTAAAGAAGCTTTCTGTGTTTATTTCATTTAAATTAAGTTGTTTAAATGCAGTATTTTCTTATGCACAGTAAAGTTTCAAAGATGTATTAAGTCAATGTTGAGTTCTTAACTTCTGAAAGAACAGCCAGAGCGCTGCTGAGTTACAAACATTTCAGAGTCACAAACCTCAATTCCCAAGGTGCTCATAACTCTGAAGTCCTATTATATTTTTACGTTCTATTGAATATTTTAGTGCAGTTTTTGATTTAACGGAAGGGTTGGGATTTTAGTTTATTTAAAAAGAAAAAAAAAAAAAACGGTGAGGAACACACCAAGAGGGACATCCTGCCTGGGCTGAGCCCTGGGTTATTGGGCATGTGAAAATTCTGAGGATATGCCTTGATTAAAGAGAGAAGTAGCTTCCTCACTACATCAGCCTTTACCTGTAGACAACAGAGCTGAGTGCAAGTTACTAAAGCAGGTCAGCTTTTTTCCAAACAAAGTTTATTCTTGAAATATGGCTGCCTTTCTGAAGTCATGTTTTTCACCAAAGCATTTCCCCTGCTTTCAACATTTTTTTATTTTTTGTTAAAAGTTTAAAATACAATTTATTTTTTTTAAAAAATCAGTTTTTCCACTTATCAAGCTTGTTTTCAATAACAAAAAAGCCTTACATTTTCAGAGTGCTTTTAAGAAAATATGGCTCAGCTTCAAACCCTCTGAAACCATTTTTTTAAGTTGTTCAGCCAGTTTTAAAAAAGGAATCTGTGCTACTGTTCTAATCTCATCTGCAGGTAGCAGTTCACTTACTTTTGAGGATTGATGTTTTCCATGGCAGCTCTCATCGCATCACAGACGAGGTCTACTTTGTTCTGCCCAGGATACTCTTGTGGCTGGACGCTGCTGCTCACTGGAGATGGGTACATAGTCTTTGTGAAGTCTTCTTCTCTAATAAGCAATATGCACTGTAAATACCAGTTGGCTTAGTCACAGCACAGCACAAACACTCAGGCAGGAAGACACAGATGCACAAACATGCCCGCAATAAGATTACTGGTACTCTCTCTCTCCTGTGCTGTTGTTTATCCGGTCATCATCTGGACAATGTCCACACACATGCTTTAATCTTTCATCCTCTCCCAGGGAAGCCCAAAATGCCCACTCTCCAAGAGATACAGGGCAACAGGCAGACTCCATTTCAACATTTAGGAGGGCTCTCACACTTCTGACATGAAGACGATTGCTCAGGATATTATTGTAACTGTGCATGAAAATTAGAGGCCCCCTTTTTTTTAAAAAAAAAAATGAGGAGCCTCATGTTAATTTCCTAATTCCTTAGTCTGAGCTGCTGGGTGCTTGGCACTTTAGAAAATTAGGCCATTTGTTTAGGTTCCCAAATAAAGACTTAAGGCTGAGATTTGCAAAATGAGACTCCTCAGTCCATGTTCAGGTACCTAAAGAAGTGGCCTGATTCTCAGACGTGCTGAGCAAACGAGCTGCTCTCAATGACTTTCAGAGATCAAATTGTACTAGGGACGTTAACCGGTCAATCGGTAACTTTCTGGTTACAGTTAACTAGTGGGGAGGGGCTATAGCAGCTAGCCAGCCACCACTGGCAGGAGGCTTCTCCAGCCCCACTGGGCCTACCATTGGCAGGGGGCACCCTAGCCCAGTCAGAGAAGCCCTCATCTGTGCCCCCCACCCATGCCACTTGCCCGCCTGTTTAATCAGTTAACTGATTATACAGGATTTTACATCCCTAAATTGTACGGAGCCTTTTGAAAAATCCCTTTGTCCAGAGCTTGACCAATAATTCTGGACATGGACCTTAGATAAAAAGGGTTGTCTTATTGTGCTCTGCAGTTCCCCACAGGAGACCCTGGCCCTACGTCAGAGTATGTCAACCACGGATCCCACTGTTGAGGTTCTCAAACATTCGCATTCGCCCAGCAAATCAGGAAAACTGGTACCACCAAACAAACTAAGTCCCTAGTTGGCCAAATCAAACCAGTAAGTGAGCGCACCCTGCTGAGCCCCTCTGCCTGGACAGAGCAGGCAGCTGGACGTGAGCACCACATGCCTGGTCAGGCAAGTGCGCTCTGGTTCTCGGAGATTCTTCAGCTGCCAGAATGATACCATGGCTTCATTTCCCTGCTGTTCTTTCATCGAAGAACAATACTTACTTCAACTCGGTAAAAAACAAGTTGATGTAATTCACAGACTCTATTTGTTTTATGAAGGTTTCCACATTTTCCAGAAAAACCTGAAGTGAAAGAAAGCCTGTCAGTGCGGATGCTGTTATTGGATACAGACACATTAACAGCACACACGCAGAGCGACTTCAAAGGGTCAGTTAAACTTGCTCACTGGCATATCCACCTCTAAACCGGAGCTACCTCACTCTTGCCATTTGCACACACTACAGTGCTTTGCATGCCAGCAGTATGAGCTCTACAGCATTGGGTACCATGCGTAGGAACCTGTGTAACCCCCTGCCCCACGCTCTCATGGCAGCTGCAGAGCACAAGGCAATGCCAGTTCAGTGTGACACAGAACAGAGTTACCTTCACAGCCCTAGGAGCTCTACCCTTCACTCAGATCCATGTGATTGACCCATGCCCCTCTGCTGAGATTCCAGCCACACAGATCCGCTTGCAGGATCAAGGACTTCGCAGACACAAGCAGCCTAGGATCCACTAACATTCTCATGGCAGCTGCAGAGCACAAGGCAATGCCAGTTCAGTGTGACACAGAACAGAGTTACCTTCACAGCCCTAGGAGCTCTACCCTTCACTCAGATCCATGTGATTGACCCATGCCCCTCTGCTGAGATTCCAGCCACACAGATCCGCTTGCAGGATCAAGGACTTCGCAGACACAAGCAGCCTAGGATCCACTAACATTGCTCCTGCCTCCT